ATTCATTACGAAGTGTGTGACAGTTCTAAAATTTCGTGGGGATCATCCGGAATCGCGCCGCTCTAAAATTCAGAGATGCAAGTTTAAATGCGGCCTCAATGTATTTATGTAAATGCGATACAGAAACGTTCGCTGCTGTCTCGCGGTGCGATGTTACGGCTTGCGTCAGAAGAGCGACGACGACAGGTGGATGGGAGCCGCGGCAATGAAAATAGAAATGGACCTTTAACACCCTGCACCGTTTCATCTCTCCGAAAGAAATGAGCGTAGATCTTATTCCCGCCAACGAGAGACGAGGGCAAGACGGAAATGAAAAGTGGTGCTCGCGACGTTAGAAATCGACTGTTCCAAAGAGAACACGAGTCAATTTTTTTTTTTTACAAATGAGTCAGAGTGTACCATTTCCTATAATATTATATCGTGTATACCATAAGAGATACTAGCAACGCGGTGCCTTTTTCGAAGCGTTTCATGTTTGCTTTTATATACTGAGATATCGCTGAATGTATGTAGATCAAATTAGAGAGAAGTGGCGTAACAGTCAATCCGCAAATGCGACCGTTTACATTTGGTACAAATGGCTATTCTTCAGGGATAATTAGTTCTAAACAATTGTTTCGAAATGGCTCGCTATTCTCGCGAGAAAGAAAAATCGGAGCATCAGGAAGCATTCGTCTTAGTCAGAGATTTGAGTCATCTCTCTCTTAATTCAGTCTTGATTTTCGGTTTACGTGTAACGAATGGGTATAGCAAGCGCGAGCGGAAGTGATGTGCGGGAGCATAAATAAGCGTGGATTTTTCAACGCGGCCCGACGCGGTCGCCTTCGTAAGGACGGTCTTAAATCGCGTTAGAAATCCTCTCGATAGGGCCTTCGAGCGGTGGCGGCGGCTTGCAGTTAGAGAGAAGCTGACATGAGGGACAGGTGGTGCTAAATAAAGACTGGACCGTCGCCAGCGCGGCTGCAAGATGGCCGGCCGAGACGTTCGGCGTCGTCGCTCCTCGTGGTCGTAGTCGTCGTCGTCGTCGTCGTCGTCGTCGTCGTAGTCGTCGTCGTAGTCGTCGTCGTCGTCGTCGTCGTTGTCGTCGGCGCTCGCTTACGACACAAATTTACCAGCACCGTCGGACGGAACCGTCTCTGACGTCTACCACGACGTCCGGACCGGTGTTGGATTTCACTTTTCCACCTACGTTTTGCTAATTCGAGGATGCACGTCGCGAAAGCGGACCACGCATCTACGCCTATGCGTGACGCCGGCAACGACGTTTTTGCCAATAACGCGTGTCGACGTGCTAAATGCGAATTTTCGGGCGATATAGTCCGCGAATGTTCCTCCCGTGACGAAAAAACTTAGCCATTGTTAACGAGGGCAACAGCGCTGCGCCGCATTGCATTCCGCACGCGTGACGTCGATTAGATTTCGTCAATGAGGATAATTTCATAATGGAAAAAAAATTTTTAATTCCATCTAATATATCTAAAGATATAATTAATAATTTTTATTTTATTGCGATATACTATATATATTATACTTACGTTATAAACGCGACGCTTTTAAGTAAAACCGAGCTAAGACTTAACTGACTTTGTTAGAGAATCTACGATAATTCGGATCCCGTAATTTCGACCACGCGAGAGTCAATTGGCCTTTGCATGGGTCTTCGCCGGGATCGCACAAAAAAACGAATCCCCTTCGTATGACGCTTCTATATATTCACACTTCTTTCACGTGATTGCGACACGTTTCGTCGCGAGATTAGGAATGTCAGGACCTCTCCCGCGATCTTTCATTAAGAGGCGAGAAAACTGCAGGGAGTCTCGGATTACTCGCCGTGAAAAAAAAAAATCACCGCGAACAACGATAAAATAAAAAACTACGAGTATGCGTTTGCTTTTTGCGTACGTATGCACATTTTTCCGCAGTCACGATAACGACAGATAAATCAGTAATCTCGGGAAGACTTGTTGTTGCAATAATGACGTCCCTACGATTTGGTATGTGCTGCGAACGATAATTTTCCGATAATGCTAAATTTAAACAAACGACGCCATATTTCCATTCCGCTATCTCTAGAACTGTATGTGTGTATTATGTATATATACCGTGTTATTTGAAAGTCCAAAAATCACCCACGTACAACACCAAAAAAAAAATACAACACCAATAGCGACACCAAGTGTAGTGTAAGCCTTCACCACACACACAAGGTTATTAATATTATAGTGGTTAGCGGATCCTATATAGTCTCGACGGGCATCCCGTATTTCGTGAAAGACACTTCGATCCACCTTATCGCATTCCAAGGAGGAGTATATCTATCTCGCGTCGCCTCTATTTCGAACTGATGTGTTAGCTTAACAGAAATAATTTCGCTCAATCGATCTTCTCGTCCATTTGCGAGCGTGTGCGAATTTTTCTCTGTCAACCACACGACGCGTCACAATATTACCTAATTTATAATTTTTCTGTTCTCATTTAATATCGTAAGTAGAACTGACGAAGTCAGACAGCGAAGTTATTAAGCGGCATCTCTTTCAGAAAGGTTACCTCAATTGTTGATTCAATTGGGTATGTTTTTTTTGCTTTCTCCGCACACAATTTCGATGAAATTTTCGTGCGGCATTGAAGAATCCGACAGGCCAAACGAGGTGAACCGCGGCGATAGAATCGATCGTTGCGCGATCAAAAATTAATACAACGCCGTTCGTGTCTCGGTGCCGGTCGATTTCCGGCGGAGAGACGGAGAAGAGAATCTCGCAGTTGGCGAAATCGCGACCGCGTTTCTCTTTATTCAACCGAATTCCATCGTCTCTTCATCCTTCGGTTCTCTCGGCTGTACACTCGCGTCTACCATCTATCTTATTTCCCGTTTCTCGCGGAATCGCGAAAAGCGCTTTAAGCGAGGCACGAGGAGAAGTCTGCATGGTCTACGTACGCCGAAAGACTAAATATTTATAAGCAATGGCCGGACGGTTCGTTGGCGGATCAGATACGCTTCTTCCTTGGCTTGCGTTAATTTAACGAAGGCACACCTTCTGTATTTCGTAATTTTATACGGCTCTCTATGCCATTCACATTCATATTTCATATCATGGTTCTTTTAATTCCAAAAAGGAAACAATGCAGCCGGATTGATGAAATACGTTTAGGAGTCAGCTTAGCTACGAGACTCGTTAAAGTGTCTAATAAAGTACCTCGTTCGTTTCGACTAAAAAACAAATAACCCAACGCGAGAGGAAACATTGCGAAAATTCGCATCTAAAATTGGAAGACGCTTTACCCTCGCTCTGTTTTAGTATTCCCGCCACCACAGGCAAACCAAGAGAGTAATTATAAACGGAATACAATGTACATGTATAAGAATAAAAATAAAAATAAATGAATTGCCAAAAGGCATAATTTTCGAAGGTACGCTAGTGAAGGAAAATATTATGTATTTAAAAAACTGCTTAAGAAAAGAACCGCTCATAGATAACAACAAACGAGCAACGTTTTTATAATCTCTAATTGCGAACCAACTTTGACCGAGAAAGTTACGTCGAAAATTAAGTTCTATTATTTTTATTTCAATTAATCAACAGTATTGTTCAATATAAAATATATCGTGTTCTTTATATTGAGATTTTTCCCAAGGCATCAACGAGTAAAAGAGAAAAAATTCTATTACAGAAAACTTGCAGTTTCGAAGTCAAGTAGTCTTTAGAGACTTTAAAATAAAATAATTTCTCGATTTTATTCTTATTTAATACCTCAGATATATTCTGAGAACAATTTTTTGGATTGATAGTAGCGTTGTCTCTCGTTTTTCTTTTCTGTGCCTGTTTATAACGAAGAGAAATTCGCCGACCAGACTAAATAACAGACTAGAACATTTCGATTTTATTTTATACGAGCGTCGAACCGAAGAGGTAACACAGTTATCTATACTGCAATTATTACTGCTACGATTATCATTATTAATATTAATCTTAATGCTTATTAAGAAAAAAAAAGAGTGTGAAGAGTGTAAAGATATAATATTAAAAAAAAAAAACTAACACCAAATAACAAACAATCGCAAATCTCTCAGCAACCGCAATCATTATCATCACTTCACGTCAGTTTCACTAAGTAAGAAACAAGAAAAAAAACACAGTCCAAAAAAAGTACGTTAGGAGAAGAAGAACAGGCCGATTCCCCGGAAGATCTTCGCTATGTACTTCATGGAAAGAAATTCGTAGGTACTCATACGTGTAGATTTCTGATACGTGTGCGTGTGCCGCTCTCTCTCTCATTCCCTCTCTCTCTCTCCCTCTCTCTCTCTTTCACTGATCGCTAATACATTTGCCCTTTCTTTTTCTCTTTCTTTTTCGTGTCTTTGTCTCTCTTTCGCGTTAATATGGGGGTCCTTAGAATGGCCCTTGGCCGTCTCAAGGATCTCGGAAAGAGAACTCTCTGCCCGTCTCCTTACGCGCGCGCGTCAGGATGCTGAAACGTCATATATATGGTGTCTTTAAAAAAAAGCTCGTAAAATTACTCGACCGTGACGACTCCGTTAAGCGAATGCCATCTTGGCTCTTTAACGTTGCATTACCAACTACTAATTGCCGTCGTATCCCCGATATTCCCGAGAAATTCTCGCGCAAAATCGAATGTTAACTTCCGTGTGCCCGCGCTACGATGGATCTCAAAAACTATTCCCATCGCAAAACGTGAAAAAATTCTCTCTTTTTGTTTTCCATTTGTAAAATCTCGATCAGCAAATTTACATAATTGCTGCGCAAATAATCAATTATTTTGCAATTTAACTTGCCTGCGTGATAATTAAATGAACGCTCGAGAAAGCAAAAAATTGCGCGCGTAAACGATTTCATTGACTTGCAGCGAATAAATTTGCTAGCCATCGGCTATGAACGATCACGAGGACTCTCTTCCTGACTTAGGCTACTTTGATCTAGCTACAGTTACGTTATATGTACGTTCTTAATATCCCTCGACAAAACACATAAATGTAGACTCACCCGTATTGTCCGGGAAGAACTGTTGGGTAACCAGCCCGGATGCCTGCAGCGAACGGGAATGCTAAAATCACAAATACAATTGATGAATCTCAGTTTTTAATAGCTAATTTTAGATATCTTTATTATTATAATAGGCGAAGTTCTGCTTGAACTAATACAATTTGGCCGTTTATCAAATGTGAAAATAGATTATAAAATAATGTAATAATAATTATTCCAATCTTATAAATAGATATCTCAAAATTCTTTTTAAAAGCTAAATCAAAATTAATTTAGAGAATTTATCAATTAAAAATGTATGATAACTTAAAAGTATCCTCTATTTTAGCCATTTGAAATTTGGAAACAAATGTGAAAAATTGTTTTCATTAATAATTAGCATAATTCACAGCACGTATGATCTTACAGAATTTCATTATATTATTTCACACAAAGTTATAATGGAAAGAATAGTAAAAATGATTCAAATCTGTGTCATGTGTCATATATCTTCCAGTAATGTCATGTTTCATTCATTGGTACAATCAATATAGAGTCCCTTTAAATCCTGCCGGATCAATACAGTATGAAATTATTATAACGAAAATAGTGAACGTGATATCTTTCCAAGAGATAATCGAGCAAACGTAAATTCACGTGATTCATTATAGAAATATAGACTAGAAATCTAGGCTTTTCGCACTGACGACTGACCAAATCGTCCCATTATAAAGACTCGCAAATATTTGTATGTCCTTCGACATTATTTTCTAAGCGCGTCGCCGAAAATTTCGGTTAACGATTATTTAATAATTATGTCCTACGCTATTGCAGCGTCGTCAAATAGGAATCATAGATAGGAGCAGACACATAAGTGTACGCGAAGCGTGCGCACGAACCTACGTACTGATGCTTCAATGGCATGCTCGCTATCTGAGAGTGCATTACGGTGTGTAATAAACTTGAAATGGCCATGCAACCGAATATATCGCGATTGCCGTCCTATCAAGGATATGCTTCATCTTTCCGTTGTAACATCGCGCAGTATAATTTCTCTGAAGTCTAGTACATTTTCAGAAATTCGATATAATTGACAAAGTTTTGTCTCTTTTTCCGTTTTACAATTTTACATATCAAAAAGAGTTCTGGCGATTATAATAAAAAGAAATAGAAGAATAGAAGATATGGGATATCCAAGTTTACGTTTTCGTCAAACGCAAATCAATAAGTTTTCCTAAATCGACTCAAATCAAAATACTTTCCGATAGAATTCTTAAGGTTTTGATTTTTCAAATCAAACTTAGAAATTTCGAAAACTTCCATCTAACAAGACAAAAGAATTTGCGTCATTAAGAGCAATTGCAAATACTATTATAACGTGCACCGGCATGGTTAAAACTTGACTTTAAAACGAGATTCTCACTCAGCGTTAAATTAGAGATAATTCTTGTATCAGAAAAAAAGAAAGCCAGACAAGACCGGTACTCGGGTTAACGCAAATTTAGCCTTAGGTCTCGAAGCACCAAGCCATGCTGGCTCAAAGCCCACCAAGAGAGTTCGAGAGAATGTGACTCAGGGGACAACTTCACTATTTGGCTGCTCGTCATTCGCTCTTTCCTTCACATCTACATAGTATAGCTTACTTGCGTATAAAATTATTGTTGTTTGTCTCGAAATTATCTGTTAGACGAAATTTCCAAGGAATTGCCAAACTATTTTCATCTTGAATGTTACACAACATTTTTTATCTGTCGCAATTACTGTCGAAAATAAATAAATCGCGCTGATTAATCGTTTCCTCAGACTTATATTAGATTTATATGATTACTGAATAGTGCGACAGAATTCTTATCCTATCTTGTCCAAGATATACGCATCGCGTATTATTATTACCGTGACGAACGAAGTTTCGGATATCTGGCAATGAATCAACAACGTAAGCCTCGTGACTGTAATACGCAAATATCAAAAATACGAGATTTAAATAGGAAATACAACATCTAGATAGAAATGGTGTAATTGCGATCAAAATGGAAGATTAACGTCTAATACGTCTAATACTTTTTTTTGTCAGTTAAAAATAATTTATATAAAATGTAATTAGAATAATTCGTAACTGATAAATTATTGTGTTCGTGTACGAGAATCAGTTTAGCAATTTTCAAAGTAATTAATTTATTGTAATACTCGAAGCTAAATCATTTTGTAGCAGGAATTATTAATTGGCAAATGCTACTAGTCTTATAAATGAAATATAGAATAAAATATACTTACTCGTTTGCAAGTTACCTCTGGGCTTAGCTCCGAGAATAGCCAAGTTGACGTTCGCTTTGCGACCGTCGATAATAGGATTGGGATCTTTGCATGCCCTCTCCGCTGCCGGTCTATCTCCCATAATTACCTACGCATAGATTACATTTATTCGATTAATATAGAATAAGCCCGGATGTGTATCCTCTACATATTACACAAATCATTAGATCGTTCAAATATAGTTGATATTTTCGTTCGTAAATAAGACTTCCGTTTTCTATGCGACCATTATCTTGAAAAGCAAAATGACTACTATCCTCATTCTTGCTCAATACACGACAGGTCAAATTCTTTTCTTAAAAAGAATGCAGTAAGGGTTCACATAAAGCAACAGATAGCGAAGTATTATACATGTTATTATCATTTGTCGTAAAGGAAGAGATATGAATAGGAATTTCAACAAAACAGGATATGTATTTTTGACAGACTGAAAAAAAATTTATCGTTACGAAAATAACGACGTTTTGCGTTCCAAAGCTCTAATAAAAAAATATCAAAAATTCTTTTCACGAAAGTATAAAAAGATTTTTTCAAAACTTTTTTGTTAAAAAATATATCTATTGAGTTCTATGGACACTATTTCGAATTTAGAAGCCGATATTATTGTTGAATGTTGATAAAGTATTTTTTAATCATTTCCATAAAAATAATAAAATATTTTCTTCATTAGTTGATATGTACATATATTTAAATAATTTAATATTTTGTTGCACCGTTTATTTAATAGATGTGGTTTTTTTTAAACTAACAAATTAAATAATAAAAATTAAAGCTACTACAATGTTAAATTTTATAGGAAGTATTACGAAATATTAAGAAAGTTCAACGAAATTTATTTCTATATAATCAACATACTTGCAAATTATAATGTTCGCGACAGAAATAGATACAAGGATTTATATACGACGTAAATGATGCAAAAGAAAGGGCATTATCTCGAGCGGAAAGGCTAAGTTTATGCGCATAGTTATCATCAACGTTATCACAAAAATTTAAGTCAACCTGCTTAATAGCTTAATCATATCGACTGCAGGCTGATAATCAGTTGTTTTTTTTTTTTCGTTCGAAAAACTACAACAGCTGCGAAACGGAAATCTTATATGACTTCGATTTATATCAAATATCACATACATTAAATCGAATACATGCAAATCTATTAATACGTAAATTACTTACGAAGCCGTAACCCCTGCTTTTGCCGGTTTGTCTGTCCGTGATGACGACCGCCTCCTCGATATCTCCGTAAACGTTGAAGTGATCCCTGAGACTCTTATCGGTGGTGTGATAGGGCAGGCCACCGACGAACAGTTTCGTCCATGTCGTGTCCTTTTGCTGCGGCGTAGTACCGGCGAGGGCCCCCAATCCTTGCACCAGCTCGTCGGGCGCTGGGGCACTCACGGCGCCTACGGCGCCAACTGCGCCCACACCGAGACCCGTGGCACCCGGCATCAGCATCCTCCAAATTTTGGCGAGATCACCGCCGGACGGGACAACGACTTGCTCAATCTTGACACGTTCTTTGGTACCTCGGTCAACGTTAATAACGCCACAAGCCGTGCAGCATTTAAACACGGAATGCTCCCTATTCTGGAAACAGAAAAAGATCCATATTTAAACCGGAAAAAAAGATTAAAAATGAAGAAAGGTAAACGACAGACTAAGAAAGAAATATTTTTATCGTGATTTGATTTTGAGAAAGTCGATATTTTTAAGTATATTTTTTCATAAATTCTTTGATAAAATTGGAATTGAATTTAGAGAAAATTCGTACGGAAGTCTATATTAGATATGACTTATTGAAAGATAATACAAAATTTTATTGTAAAAATATTTTGCAATAAAATCTTGCATAATTTTAGAAATTTTATTCATATAGCTTATATGTCAAAAGGCTTAATTTAAAGACACGACATGAAGGAAGTTGTTTGTCTTAATTTCTTCGTTAAAAATAAATTGATTTTTAACTTGTAAGTTTAAAATATTATTATTTTGTAAAACATTCATGCAGTAGATTCGTTTTAAAGCGAACGAAATATTTTGAATGAAATCGATACTATGTATTTTCGTCTCTACGCGAATACTCCAGATTTAAATACTGCACGAGAACGATGAGTGAAACCTGCATATAGCACTACTACTTTCTTTTCATCTCTCATAAAACAGAATGGCATGTATCTCAATCTTTTCTTATTTCATAAAGAATATTTGTACTTCGTTATTTTATCTTGGGAGAAAGTAAGAAGAAAATTCATATTAACTTACATCAAACAAATCTCGTCAATTATTGAAATGTTTTATTTTCCGACGTATATTGGATATATCTTAGATAGAATCGCACATCACACGTAACGCGTTAAGCCTTTTGAAAATCAGTAATAAAAGATCGGACGTTCTCATTCATTTTAATGATGCTTGGTCTACATTGTCCTCTCGAAGTAGTATGTTTGTTACGGGAGGATTAATTTGTGTGTCGCGTTACTGTCTAATTTAGCCGCGTCCAATTAAGGGGGCCGCACGCGTGCGGTTTAGAAGCTTCTGAAAAGATCCGATTCTCAACCCCTACACGAGGGGTGAAAGAACCGTTGCACCTCGTCATGCAAACTCGATGTATATATACGTGTGCGAGTTTCGTGACAATTAGGTTTTAAACGTGTAGCCACAAACCGACACGCGTACGCTTAGCGTGTACGCTATAATGACGTACATGTTTTGATACGTACGCGTCAGTATGTACGGCACAACTGTAACGACGGTAAACGAGGCGCTCTATTCACTTTTCTCCTAAAGAATTTTATTTCGCTGATTTATAAAAGTACATCGCGCGCGGCTCGCACGTTGGCTCTCAGTGAAAGGGGAATCATAATTGAGTGAAATGGATGCGGAAATCCTCGCACAAAAAAGAGATATTGCCACTACTTAGGCGCCAAGCAGAACTTCAAAAAGCAATTACCGCAACGACGTGGAATTACACTAATTACGCTTAGAGACCAAATATAATTAATGAGCAGTTGATATATATCTAATCAATTAATTTTAAGCATTAAATCAATTTCTTCGGCATATGTTTTCCGTAGAAATTACAGTGTTAAATATGTAAAGTATGTTTCTTTTGTCTGATGTATAGAAAGATAAGAAATTTCGTTATCAAATTATTTTACGCTATATGAGAGATCCATTAAGTAGCGAAATTTTATTTGTAAAGATTTGCAAAAGTAAAATCGCGTGCGCCTGAGTAACGTGTCCAAAATAACTTTCGCTACATAATAAATCATGTCACGATATGGATTCAGCGATAAAACAACCGCGTATAAAGATATTAAAATCGAAATAAAATAGAAATAAAATATAAGTATTAAAATAGACTTTGGATACCGTGTACAAAATGATATGTGTACAAAAAATTAATATCCATTTCCAATATTTACATTTTTTAAAATTCAAAACATAATTTTTTAATAATCGATAGCCAATGCGCATTTCGAATTAAAATGTCAGTCTTGTTTTGACATTGAAACTGACTGGTTTTATTAATTTTATTTAAAGCAGTAGATTCATATACATATATACATAGCAAATTCTCACGTAAAGAATTAAACAACTTAATAAAAAACGAAAAAATATTCGGCACGTCGCACGAATGATAATTTCAAACTACCGTTTCCGATGCAATGATGCAACACAGTACATCTGCGCTCGCAACTTCCTTGCAGTTCGAGCAGCGCCGAAGGGCTTTCCTTTACACGAAAACGAATAGTCCTCTAGCTTCGTCTGACGCACACATCACTTTCGCCTACCGTCCCTCTCTACTGTATGCTCGAATCGATGACTCCTTCGGGCACAAAGGGAACAGATAAAAGCTTCCCTTTTGCGTAGAAACTGAACCCCTGCATCGGGGAAAATCCGACATGGTCTCGACAGGATGGCGAAGAAGCGAGAGGGCTTTACCCTGTGAACGCGATAAAGAGGGCTATACGGACGGAGAAGAAAGGGCAAGGAGGAAGGACCCTGACCTCCATCCAAGGCTCTCTCTCTCTCGCACTCCTCTCTAAAGAAACCTGAAAAGAGAGCCAGTTTTGCTCCTCACGTAGAGAACGAAACGGTCGAGGGAACCAGGTAGTAGGGCATTTTTCGTGCGGCTCGTCTTTCGAGTTTCTGCAACGCGTTTCAGCGCCGATAGAGAAGAAGAAGGGAGAAAGGGCCCTTTTTCCCCCGTCACGTCCCTTTTCCTCTCACTCGGCGTTTTCAACCCACGGTCCTCGCTTCTCCTTGCATGCCCGAACATATTGTGCGCGCCGGGCCCTACGGCGAGGGCAGAGGGGCCCTCTCTACGGGGCCCCCGCCTGTTTCTCCTTGCTTGCCCATCCCTCCTTCTGCCCTTTCCTACCGGTACTTCGATGGAACGACCGTCGGTTCCCGGTCGAGATCCCCCAAAACGACGGCAGCTGCTGCAGAAAACCGGTGCAGCACGCCGTATAATCATATTGTTGTATTGCCATCGCCGCCCCCTCCTCCTTCACCATCCTTCGCTCTGCCCTAGAACGACCTAGCTCGCGTTCCGAGATCGTTCGAAACGTTCGAAAGATCGCTTTTCTCAGCGCTTTACGATTTAACCGCGATGAAGAAACTTCCCGCGATAACATTTAATACTTCAAATCATCCAAACACCAAGTTTAAAGTAACATACTATAGCAATATGCTCTATAATTTACAAGTTAACGATCTGAAATTCTTTTTTAATCACTGCTTTGTACGTTTCAAACAAGAATTTGCTCCGTTTAAAAAGTCACAAGTTGACTTCGAAATCTCGAAACGCGATTGTACCTAAAACGAAATTACGTCCCCCTTGACACCATGCAATTTTCTTTTGAAACATTCCTTCAGCGAATAATTCAAGAATAATTGAAGCTAATTGTGTCAAGTGAGCCTTCTTCAGTCTTCGAGATCTCTTGTAGATCACACTTTATAAAATAAATCTCGAGCCACAACTCGAACCACCCGAGCTTGAGTAATGTGAGAAAAAGTACTTTTCGGTTCGCAATATTTTTCGAGCTTTACGGTCACACTGTGTGAAAATGCATTGTCGGCCGGTAGTGGCGTTAGTAGAAGCAGTTTCAACCCTTTAGGTTAATAAGAGGCACGGCTTGCGGAGGGTAGAAACAATGGCCGTATACACGCGCCGGCTGGCTCGTAAGCCGGCGCGGCGGAAGCATACGGCGCGCGACGGCAATTCTCGACGATCGCGGGACACGGAGAATTTCGACGAATTTCCACAGTGCTGCATTCACTGACCGTCCACCGGTGCCGTCGTGGAACGTTGTCGTGTTCCAGCGAGGTGCACCGTTCGCGCGTGTTCCGTTTCCGCTCGAAATACAATAGGATGTGGCTTGCGGCGCGTTCGAAAATCCCCCGCGGAGGGTTTAAAGCACTCGCGAATATAACTACGTTGAGAAGCACTGGTTTTTAATAGCTCACACGTGGACCACGCGGACACCCCGCGGTGTACGAGAAGAATGAGTACTCGGACGCGGCGCGCGCGCTTAGGCGACACAAGTTCCCATCGCGACGCGTAACGTCGGGACGTCATCGGTCCTTTCGGTCGTGTCGAACATACGGCGGTGCATTCGGCACTGGCCAATTGCCACAACATACGCCTCTCAATCGCGAAAGCATCCGCGAAAATATCCTCTCGGCCAAAGTCGCCAAAGGCCAATCTTTCGAAAAACACGTGGCTTTCGTCAGGCTTCGCGAAAAGGTGCGTCGCGATATACGCGAGTGTTAATTGCAGAAGCGCGAGTGAAAAGCGCGTTTTAAATCAAAAACAAGTCTGCGGGCTTTAAACGTCATCACTGAGAATACTCACATTGCAGCGTGGTTTTTGCGTAGCAAGTACTATAATTAATAGGGTATATTAAAAAAGAGAAGTTGTTAATATCTTTAAATTTAGTGTGTCTCAAAACTTTTCATTGCTTAGATTTTAAAGTATACTCGCGATTAAAATAGACCTTCAATTATTCTGCATATTTATATAAATGTAATTAATCTTAAAACGTGGATTTTGTGTATCAACCGTTCAAGATTCCTTCGAGGAATTTACATGTGTATACGATGCTGCGGCGTGTAGCTGTCAAATAAATTTCGAAACAATTTTGTCTTCCTCGGCAACTAATTGGCGCGTGTCCGCGTCTTTCTGCAAAACTTGCCGCGGCAAGTTTATACGTTTGTATGCGGCGTGTCTCGCCACGCAGGCGATAACGTCATTATCAAATTGTTTGCATCTCTCATGCAGGAACACTTGTTGAAGCACGATTGACAATAAACGTTGTAACGTCTGCTGAAAGTTTATACATCGACGACTCGCGGGCGGTCCGAAGAAGCGTTATGCGCTACTTGTCCGCCGATATAGCGTGAAAATTACGTGACTTATATTTTTCTGTATCGGAGATACCGGCTGTAGAAAACAGTACGCTGTTTAATCGCACGTTAGAATGCCGAAAAGAAAGGACGCACACCCTCGCTTCCAGTGCTACTAGAGAGATAATAACCTTATATGGCTCTCGAAATCTGCATTATGTTACCACCTTCATAAAATTTTTTTATAGTATAAATTTTGAATATATTATACCATTTTTCGTAGTAGAGATTTGGTTTTGTAAAATGTTAGACGTATATAATTTATTATATTAATAATTTTTTTAATTGTTTTTATAGTCAACGCTTAATTTCAGACATTCGTATGAAACAAACAATTTTAGAAATTTTATTTTTATCAAAAGAAATAAAAATTACAAATAAACATTTAAAGTAACCATTTTGTTATTTTAATTTTCATTATTATTTCGGTAGAGACAAGGCAGGACAGGAATTTTGTATAAAATCAATATAAAATAATTTCAGCTTTTTTTTTTTACATTTCATGAAATTCACGAAACTTTATGTACTTCTGAAACGACGTTGAACATTAACATAACTCGACTTAGACAAGTTCCGTTACTTCTTAAGATAAGACGAGCAGAAAAATCGCGGCGAACTTTCGCGAGTAAATAACTTCCACGTTCTTATGCAAACTTATGAACTTTCTTTCGCGCGCTTTCCACGGAAAAGAAAAGCAGTCGGATTTTGATTGAAATGTTTCCAAAGTATCTCTATGATTGGCTTAAGTCTGAGGCACACGATGCGACTTTTCGTGCATGCGATCCAGCACGAAAAGTCGCATCGTGTGCCTAAGGCTTTATTTTCGACACGTATTTAGATTGAAGATACACATTAATTTGAAAATATAATTTTTACATTATCATCTTAATTCGAACCAGAAAGTTAAAATATTTTTTAAATGAATACGATCTAAAAATCCATCAATTGCGACATCAATTCATTTAAATATCCAAAATATATCTTTAAATAGAAGTATAGAGTGAATGAGGTAGTAATCGCGAATGTCATTCTGAGCAGTTTTTTCAGCCAGAAACGTCTATCACCTGCGTCCGTTTCCAGACGTACTGGCTCGGCAAAAATTGTCGGGCACGGCCGTCGGGGTTTATTAATAAACATCGAGGAACACGTGCCCGGTCGCCCTTTGTCGCGGCGGCCCAGGCCGTTGAACGGGGGTTGAGAGGGGACAGCTGAGAGAAGAAGCAGACCATTTTACGAACGCGCAAGATGGCCACGCGCCACCGCGCAGTTCCGCGGACGGATAAACAGAATTTCCTGCGTGCGCGCACACAAATTTGCGCACCACGCGATCTCCACCACGCCACGTTACATAGCAAAAATCGGATTCAGTGAATTTCAGTCGAGACGCCGCACGTTTCGTGCCGGTTGATCGTGTAGATCGCATCGCGTCTATACGACCCAGGGGATCCAGGGGAAGCGCACGCTAGTGTTGTCGTTCGCCGAGGCGATGCATCCAATTTTATCGCGGTGCATCTCAATGTCGCGATATGCAGAGGCGAGCGAGTGTGAGGCAGTGACAATGTTTCCCTCATAACTGGTAATGCTTCATATCTTCCAAGGATAAAGCCGGCCGCATACAATGGCGACGACCATTGTTCGTGCTCGTCACTCATTTAAATGATTGATTATTTTAATTTTGTTTGTCGCTATTTGCGTTACTCTTTTCTATTTTTTACCGTCTCTTAAATCAACGATCTCTCGGTGTTAAATCACTAAAAAGTCTCTCACACAATCTCTTTGCGAATATGGAAAAAAAAGGTCAAGTAATATAAAATCTTGTAAATAATACCTCGACCATACAGGAAATAATAACACGGTGTAATTCGATCAAAAAGAAACATTTATATGCTCAGAAATTAGAAACTAATCTACACAGTCGATTTTGGCGCCGTATATTTTTACAATTATAAAGCCGCGAATGCGTTAAGCGATACGCAATAACGATAGCAATTAACCATCATTAACATTAATGATAGCTATTAACACTAATGAGCCGCGCGGTTCCAAAATTCATACGACGGCAGCACGCTAACAGCTTTGTAGAATGTAAAGTTATGCATTAAATATGACGCGTGCTGACTCTCAAGACCGTTGATGACTTTTTTACGAGTTATCTTGTAGCCAAGTGTGCTATTTTCAAAAGAAATAACAGCGAATCGAAAATAGATCGATCGAAGAGAAGTGGAATGCGCCGTAGTTTAATCGCACCTCCTGAAGGCAATTAGGAAATCGATTCGGATTAATACGATCAGCCTTACGTCGAAATATTTCTCCGTTTCCATTGCAATAATAATTTTCGGAAGTCTGATTTTGTTTCAAAGTTTTTTTCTCTTCTCATTAATGATCAATGTTAACAAAAATCAATTCACTTACGTATATGTCGCACTGTGTATGTCCGTCTGTCGCACTACGCTACTGCCGTGATAATCCCAAAAATGTGTGATGGCAACACAAACAGTATTATATACACCAAGGTTAGGAGAGATCTTCCGTCCGTGTGGAATTTAAGGCGATCTATACATCAGAAGCACGAAGCACTTTCGGAAAAACGACGATTCGACTCGGATTAGAGAAGTACTCGCGAAAATTGCAGGCACTTTTTTTTTTTTACATCAAGGATGGTTCGCGTTCGGCCAGTAGTTTGGTTAAGAGAGTCACCACGCGGTGCGAACGGTGCTCGGTTTTTACGACCGTGAGCGCGTCCGGAAAACGCAACCGACACCGACGAGAGCCCACGTGCGAGTGTCGAGCCTTCCGTTTGAGTTGCCGCCGCAACTGCACGGCGCTTCAGTTCGTCGGTTTCCTTGCCAGTTGGCTCGCCGTCGAGCCTGCCGATTGGCCGGACATTCATTCCCACTCCCGCTGTGCCGGGATACGATGCGCACGCAAGCGGCCCCATACCTCAGGAAACACTGATGACACGAGCGCTGAAATTCAAAAAGCGGGACCGATCGGTGTTTTCACGCGGTACTCGACGACGTTGGGCTCCCGAGATGCTTCTCGCGGGCACGGCAGGGTAATGACTTGTTGCCGGGTGATCGATTGTCCCGGGAAGCACGTGTGCGCGGCGGGGACTCTGCATAATCGCAGGCGAATTGTCGGTCCTTTCTCTTCTGGGGCTTTTATTGTGCTTTCTATATAAAATTTCCTCGGGGCTCCAGCGAAAAAACTTCGATGATTGACATAATTGTAGCCCACGGTAATTTATATCCTTTGTCTTTTGCCTCGACTGGAACTTTGGCGCAAAATTTTCAATTGTGATTTGTTCTATTGGACAAACATTAATCATAAATTTATGAGATTTATAAGGACAGGCAAAACTGTGTAAATGATATAAAATCACAATTGAAGTTGTTATTACATAAATACGTAGAATCTATATTTACAAGAAAATAATACGTACGAGTATAATCTACTCAATTACTGAATTCTATTCTCGTTTTAATTTCTTTTTCGAAAAAAAATATATTTACGAGATCAATCTTTTGTAATCTGTATTTTAAAAATACATGTCTTAACGAATGAGAGCATATTTATGTAACATTTATCGTGGAAATAGTTGTTAAAAGAATTTTATTAAAGTGGAAAATCGAATGTCTTTCTTTCATTCCGCGAGAGTTTCTCCTACGAAAGTGCATAACAAAGCGAAGCGATTCTGAGGGATCGACGAGGCGAGGCGGTGGTCCGCGGAAGAGCATCAGCTGTTCGAATTATTATCGTTGCAGACGACGGCAGATGTTCGCTGGCCTGAAACGTTCTCCCCCGAAAGCTTTGAACTCGCTGATCCTTTTTCTTTCGGGCCGGTGAAAAACTCACGAGGAAAGCGCACCTTTTCGTCGCCTCGCACGAACATTACGAAATGCAAAGCAAACAGAAAATGAATGCATATTATCTTGAATTATAGAAATGCAGGATATCCGGCATCCCGCATTATATATAGTGATCTTTTTAAAACTAGAATAAGAATCTTAACGCGTCACGTTACTTTTTGTGCACTTAAATAGTCGAGTAATACAGTAAAATATTAAACAAATTGTAGTACATTTTATGTCTATACAAAGGCTATTTATTGGTTCACGGCTTCGGGAAAATGTTACAGCAACTTTGTTGAATTAAAATAACTTTTCTGCAAATGCGATTCCCCTGCGTATAGTTTCATAAATTTTATTATATTGCCCTCCATAGATTAGTTTTATATCTCATCATATCTCAAAGATCTGCCCGAGTTACGATTATGTCCTTATAAAAATCAATGTGAAGTAGTCTCCGGGGTGCTTCTTATACACGTTATGCAAACAAATCACAGTCGTAGATAGCCCTAAGGAGTTTTATTATTATTATACGGGGGCTTCCGGGGGCAGAGGTAACCAGGCAGCGATAATTCGTAGCTGCCCAGCTACGTTCCCTTCGGTGCCGAGGATAGACGAAGCTCGGGAACGTCGCATTGTTCGAAACCTGCCGTTACTTACGTGCGACGGAATATAGGATATCATCGTCCGTCCGTCGCGTTCGCGCTCGAAGGAGACCCCATAGGTTCGTGGCACGCGCTGCCAGCTGCCCCACAGCTGTCTCTCCTCTGTCGTGTCCCCCATATACGAGACCAGGGTTCTTACCCAACCGTGGTGCATTTACCACACCGAACGAACCGTTTCGCTTCTGTGTGCACGACGCACGTGCGTACGACTCGGCAATATTTTATTAGCGTGCACATTGCGACGAGTGAAGCACCCTTTCGAGTCCTCCTAAGAAACGAATCTCGAGAAGTACCTGATCCCGAAAAAGTCTGTCAAAATACGTCTGAATATAATTTCGCGAAATCGCCGAAATAAAATTACAGCCGTTGTTTACGCCTTTATTAATCGCGATTTATTGAACACGTAGTATTTAACTTTAACGATTCTTTAAATTGTCGAATTAAATTATATTTTTATAAATTTTATATTCTGGGCGGTAATCTTTCTCAAATAAGATGTAATCAATAAATATATATAATATTTAATTTTTATTTAAAAGAATATATCTACGCTCTGAAGTGTATCATTCGAATAAAGAATTACTTACTTAAAAGTTCAATAGCTACGCTATTTCTCATACGAAATATATGCTGAATTGCGTATACGGTGTCATAGGGAGGTGGGACTACGCATGGGGTTTTACATTTGCGGTTTCCCATCCGGCTCGACCGGCGCAGTCTCGCAGGAAATAGTCCTGGAGTATCCTAGAGGATACAGGGCTATTGGGTTTCGCGTGAAAAAAAACCGGCGTGATCGCCGGCAGCAGCAGAAAGTGGGTATGAGAAGAGGATACGAGGAGACGTAAGTGCTCGCACGAAAAATAAAAAGGACCGTGAAGGGGGAAAAGCGAAGTGCACACGCCAAGAACCGGAAATCCCAGGGCGTTCAACTCTGACACCCGGTATATATTTAGATTTAAAGAGACGATTTCTAGTCCGATTTCATAGATACGTATACGTACGTGGCGCGATTTATTGGCGATCTTGCTCTTGAAAATAACACCGAATCTTGTACATCTTGTTTATCATCGCCCAGAATTATTCCCGTCACTTGAAAGCGCAAAAGGTTTTGTATATATTTATAGCAGTAATAATCTAAAAACTAAAAGTTACTGCAGTCTGAACTTGTCGTTGCAAAAGATTACGAACGACCGTTAAATCGCATCGTTAAAATTATCAAAATCGTGCGCGACATAGCGCGCAAAAACACGAGTTACGAAACACGAGTAAAATCACGCTGCAAAGTTCACACGAAAACGAACACGTTGAAAGGATGTCGTCTGACGGGCGGTGTCTAATGATCATTCCTGTACGGTAACTCGCTCGAGAACGTTTTGCAGATATCGTCTCTCCTGAAGCTCCGGAGCTTATTACGCGAGAGCCATGTGCCTTCGAAACCGAATTATTTACGACACGCCCGAGAGAGAGAAATGGACATTAAATCGGCCGGCCACGTGGCCGCTCTCGTCGTCGTTTTTTTTTTTTAAGGAAAACTTAGCACTTCCGCGAAGGAAGCCGATCATTTCCTATCTCGTGTTTATTGCACAATCGCGCACGCGATGCCGGCACGGTTCACCCACATAATCGCGCCCGCGAACTCACGGAATCGCCGCGCCGCGCCGGGCCGGGCGTGCGACGTGCCACTCCGCGTATCGCGCGTACACGCGCGTCACGCCGAGAGTGTAACGATCGAGGGGAAATTACTGTAATCGCGGCGTGTCAGACTTTTCGCGATTGACTCACCCGCCTGTAAAGCTCCCGTCTTTCGCACGCCCTTCGGGACGGAGGCACGCGCGACTTGTTGAAACCCTGCTCGTCGCCAGGCCGTGCTAAGAGCGAAAGCGCAACGACAATAATTAAAATATCCGGGTATATGCATTTTACATATCGTATATCCGCGCACTTTCTATACCTCTTCCGTATCTTCGGCAATCTGCATTTTTTCTGTAGTATACGCAATAATTTATTTCGCAAAGTTTTGATATTTATTTCCCTTTAATTATAATTAGATGATAAATGCTTGACATTTGTATTGGTGGATAAAAATGAAAGTGTAGTCAGAATGTGTCTTCTTCCGCGTATTTCTATTTTTTTTTATTTCTAAATATTCTGTTTATCACTGTGAACTCAATGTCGATGCGCGATTCAGATTACGAAAATCTGCCGGCTGAAAAATTACGCGCGAAAGCTGCAAAGTACCGGCGTCTTTAGAGACACAATACCAGCGGTTGGCGGCCTTCTCGAAATAGATGAGGAGCCCAGCCCTCCAAACTCGTCCGAAAATAAAACAGGTTTCTTCCTTGCGCGCGGCGACGTCCAATTGGTCGAAACCCCGACGGAACAGTCATTTATTTATTATCCGACGTTTATTTCCGATGGCAGTTGTCGTTGTCTACTCACGCTGACGAAACTTGGATACTATTAGTGGATTATCGTTTTTATTGATTGGCTTGCGCGAGATCAATCCCGAACAACTGTGTAATTCTATATGAGCAATTGTTCAAACAAGTTACACATGTTGAAACTCGTCAATATCAAGGGTACGAACTTCTCATAATGGACTTTCTCGTCGCAATTGCCTTCGGTAATGTTATCAGTTACGGATTCGATCACAGAATTGACTTACAATGATGTAATTTAAAAGTTTGTGAATTGATTTAATTGTTCGAAGGATTTTTCTAATAATAATAATGCAAATAATTACTAAAATAGTTACTAAAAAGGTGTGGAGAAAGTAAGAGTTATGCGCAATTAAACTTCTGTCTATTTTTGTTTGCAGAAAAATAATTTTTGGTTAGTCGTATAACTTTTTCCGTAATTTTTATTTATTTATTCAGGATTCTATTTCATTAATTTTAGATAATTTTTTCATGCAGTAATTGAATGCTTAAATAATAAAGAGAATTGTATAATCATTGTATCTAAATAATCATTGATATTTAATATTGTTTGTAAAAAATTATATATTTCTTAAAATTGAATGCATCATATGGAATCTACTAATTGTAAGATAAAAGACATTTAAACTAGGAATATCATAAATCAAAATGCAACTAGATAAAATTGACAGACAATATATTTCAATAATTGACACTGCAATATATATATATATATATATCTTTTTATCTGTTGTCTGTTGATTATGCTATAAGTATTTGGTGAATAATTACTTTTCCTTAAATAGATACAATATTGCAAAATATAGTGTAAAAAGAAGATTTTCTAAAAGCTTAATCTATATTGATGCTTTTTGACTAAAAAAAGGGTAAGAAAAACAATCTTGTTAAAATATCAAAAATAAAATTACATGTAGAAATAAATTATAACAAAGATACCTCGATTTTGTCAGGACTTTACAAAACGCAATAAATCAAAAATTTTTCTAAAAATTTCCGTTGTTCTAGTACAACTGACTCAAAAATAAACTATAATGCGTCAAAGTAAATACGTAATAAATTATAATTTTAAACACGCTATTAGTTTCTATATTAAATTAGCTTAAGATCTTATTATTTTGTGAATTTAGATGTTTTTTTTATAATAAGCAATGTTTAATTTAAAACATTCAATTTTTATAAGCTCATCAGATATCATCATCTTTTTATAATTTAATAGAAATTAAAAATATAGCTTATATTAGGAGTATAAAAAATAGAACTTATATTGGAAATATAAAAAATGTAACTTATACTAGGGGTTTAAAACCATCGCTGCTATTTAGTGGCTGATATCCCAAATACGCTCGGCTAAAATCCGTGCTTACGAATTCGTTTGTCTGATCGGGCGCGGAAAAAGGTGGATTAAGACCCGGATAAATAAATTTGTCGTCGTTATAAAAATTAGGAGGTTCATACGGTGCGTTGTAGCTGATCGGGCTGTACGGTTGCGTTGTGAATTCCACGTGTTGTATATTCTGTGGATATCCACCGTAATATCCAGGGAAGTGATTATGTTCCTTATGACCATATTCCTTATGACCATATTCCTTATGGCCATGATGATGATGATGATGGTGATGGTGGTGATGCGTTGTATTGTCAGGTCGAATTGTTGTAGTTATATTTGGTCGAATAGTGGTGGTGGTGGTAGTGGTCTGATTTGTACCTTGAAAATTCGAAGTTTGGCGCAAATTGACGGTGTTGAAATAGTCACGCTCTCTGTTCGTTCCTTTCACATTGCTGCTTTTTCGTTGGCCCTCTTTGCATCCGCGTATCGTACCCTAATGAAATTTATTAATAACATGAATTAATATGCAATGTTCGCGCGAATAAAGCATTAAAAAAAATATCTTTCCGTGTGTGTGTAAAAATCAGAATGTGATATATAATGAACAAGTAAACGATATTAAATTGATAAAAAAGCATTATTATCATTACGTTATTATTACGTTATGGAAATGTTATCTTTTAACGAAGCTATATATATTGCACGCGCCTCAAAACAGAAGCGAGGTAAAGGAATATATTTTCGTTACGACGAGATTAGCGACTGAACACGCATGACTTTATACAAGATACCACTCCATTTAAGAGCCAATGCTTCAACGCGCGCGTTATCTTGACACGTACACATTGTGGATCCAAATGAAATTACTGGCACACACACACACATCTATGATAATTCACGCGTGGAGGTAACGAAAGAGTGAAGACACGATGAAGCCTTAATCATTTGTCATACGAACACCTGTCGTACAACTATGTTATTATCCGAGCATACGCGATAAGACCTGTTCTCGCATGAATAGATCCAGCCATAGACCTAATACGAGAGATACATGTTGCGTTTATTTATCGGGTCATCCCGTAAGTATAACTCGAAACATTTAAAAAAAAATTTCGCTCTAAGATTCTATTTAAAAATTAGCAGCTACACTAATAGATTAGACAAACGTGTACCGTAAGTATTAATAAGAAATTAATAATTTAAGTAGCACAATTATATTGTTATATTACTTTCGCGCAATTAATCGATCGTACGAGTAATCGATGTTGGAATTTTTGAGAAAGCACCGGTACCCGTTGCCGAGTGAGATGCGCATCGAGATAAAACGTCGCGTGGCTTTCCGCTCTGATTTCTATTTGCTCATCGCGGCGCGAGAGCCCCGCGAGATCTATTACATCCTTACCTTCTCTTCCGCGTTTCGATCCTGCAATCTTATGCGATCATCAGCCCCGTTGCCCGCGTCTGAATAATCCTCGTTGTTCTCGAGATCGATCGGTTTGTTGTCGAACAGGTTTATCAGTTGCGGCGTCAGATCGGCGCTTTGCGACGTCTGAGGCTTCGCGCCGTCGAGTCCGATGAGACCGGGATAAAAGAACGGATAAGGTATCAGAGCGGGATATTGGCTGTAATAGGCGGTGAAGTACGGCGAGGTTTTGGAAGAGCCTAGGTTTATGCTCAACACCTGCGGTATCTTAGCGATATTCTTCATGGTGGAGGATGCCGCGTTGGCTAATCCACCGAAGCTGAGGCCAGTTAGAAAGGCTAAACTATTCAGAAATCGTCCTTTTCTTCGGTCCGTCTCGCCGTTTGTCCCGTCTAGACTCCTAGTTTCTTCCATTTTCGGTTTGCGTTTCGACAGACTGAGAACTTTCCAAACGCTTTCCTTCTCAATCGTCGCATTTTGACTGCTGTTGTTCCTCTCGACGAGAACGGTATCCTCTGGTTTAGCGATCTTAGTCGGAAGTGTGTCGCAATACACCTCTGCAACAGAAAGATGAGTCGTTGGAGTCGGGAGGATGAATTCGGACGTGGCCACAGAACTGCGACATCGAAATATCGCTCGAATAATTGTTTACCACTGCAATATACAGCGAAGGCTGTTAGGACAATGATGAGGGAGCCCATCGTTACCGCGTCGTGATCAGAACGAAAATGAGGTGACACCGCATAGGCTCTCCGACAAAATTAAAAAGCTGCGGGTCGCCCTCATGTTTAGGGCCGCGAGAAAGTGTGTTTGGCAGATATTATAAGTATGGTAATTGCGTCGATCTGCTCCTAATCTTCCTCTCTAACTGTGACAATTACGCCTCGCTTAGGAAATGTGGGATGCAGAACACCCAAGATTATTTCATTGTTCACTCGACTGCTTTCAAAACTTTCATATTCGGAGAGATCTTACGTGTATACAAACGTGAAATTAAACCGACAGTCTCTAATTATGTAAATTCAAACGGTAATAGATTATCTAAACGAAAAGCTTAATACGCGCAACTTCGATCGCTGTTTTTTTTTTTCTGTATTGTAAATACATCCTTATATTGTAAATATATCCTTAAAATTTTTTATAGAAAAACAAATTGTATAATCTAATTTTTAAACGTATTAATTGAGTTACACTTTCGCGTTATTGTTGGTGTAGCATATTAGGAATTCCTTTACAGTTATTTTTACAGTTGAAACAATAAACCCGCATCATGCATTTTATATATTGCGCTCATCTTTGCATAAACTTTCACTTTCTTTAATGTTCTCAATGTTTATAATACTGACGTAACAGAGGGCTTATGTTAAACAAACTTTAGGCCGGTATTCACAGTCTCGGCTCTTATTTCAAGACCATCTTGAGTAGAATGAATGCATCGTTTGTGGCCATCTTAATTTTTGCAATTTTTGAAATAATTTTTTTTAATAACATAAAAAGAAGATATTGTTCAATCAATGCCAATCAATACTCACACTGAAAAAAGAATCTGGTTGCATTAAGAGGAAATCTGTTAGAGTCAACTAGTATGTCTGTTTGAAAATCGACGAATCAGAATTCTTGTACGATTCACCAGACGAATATGATTAATTTTTTCTTGTTAAATCTACCAGAATTTCTTGGAGATCGGAAGAGCACACGT